TTTCAGTATGATGGGGAAAAATCCATCCATGGAAGATCTTCCTGGGAGCTTGCTCCATATGACTGTAGTTCACAATTGATTTTGAAGATTTTGAAGAAGATTGAAGATTTTGTCACGTGGTGTAAACTTGTGTCAAAGGAATGCTGTTTCAATAATCATGCTGGAGAGTGTAGAGTGGTTTGATTTACAACACAATTTTTTATTTTGGACAAGGCCAAAGCACTCCCTATTACAATATGGAGTAAAAATACCATGATTTACATCATAATGGGAGAAACGCAATAAAGGGTGCGAGTCAGCAGAGAAACGGACAAAAAAGTATGGGCAGTCGGAGAACAGGGTAAAGGAAGCAGAAGATTGTGACCCCCCCAGTCCCCCCTCCCCACCTTCACCTACTTAAAACCAAGATAAAAATTTATGACACTGCATTTAATGTCAGAATGCATTCCAGCTACTATGGATTGTACAACTGCATTTACAATTCCCTAACAAAATACAACAAATAATATTTAATAACTGTAAGTAATGTCTACTTCTATTCATTGAATGCATTTCTGTTTATAGCACTCAAACGTATTCAGAACACTCCTCAGTGGGATGCAGCTCGATATGAGTATAACATTTCAATACTTTTAAGTACATTGATTGTTATTCTTTTCAAAAGTCTTCATATCAATGTGATCAGCAAAAATATTATTGTGAACACCTAAAATGATGGCACAAATTTTACACTAAACACTTCAATATTTTTTATTTTTATTATTAAACAGATAATCGACGCACCTGCAAACGTAAAATTTAAAGGTAACAATAAACTAGTAACTAGAAATAAGCAAAGGTTTAGAGAGCATGACTGAAGGTGACAACAATCAGAAGTACAAATGCTTTTGCTCCATTAGTCTGCTTTGCATAAGTTTCACTCACAGATGGTCAAAACATGCATGATCACATTACAAGAGGTAGAAGGTTGAAACGCACATAACCTAATTACATTTTCTACACTCCATTCATTTTTACTGGAAGTGCAAACAAACATCGGCCACATACAGACAACAGCGCATGTGTAATAACAACCTAGACATTTAGGATTGTAGCCTCCTCCTGTTGCCTGCAATAATAAAATGTTAAAGAAGGCAGATCGCAACAATTGAAGGCGAAAATGTTTTCCTGAAACACTGCACTTGCATAAGTTTCATGTCACATGATTAATGATTAAAACACACATGATGAGTTTAGACCTATAATAGAAAACACAAACATGCATTACCAAACTGCATTCTCAGCATTCTATTCACTGTTAGTAAAAGTCCAAACAAATCATTGCTAGATATGGTGCATGCATAATAACAACCTGGGGCCGGTTGCTCGAAGCCTGGTTAACGCTAACCGTTGGTTAAGAAGTATCAAAATGTATCGGTTTCCATGGTATTTAACGCTGGTTAGCACTAACCATGCTTTGAGCAACCCGGGCATGAAGCAAAATGAATTAATTCCCAGAGTTTTGGGAATCCCTAGGAATTCCAATTTATTCCAAGACATACAAATGAGGAACATAAAAAACTTTAGAATATTTGGGAATACTTAAGAATAGGTGAAAATACCAGTGGGAATTTTTCAGAATTCCTAGGAATTCCCAATCATTGAAAGTTTGGAGGAAACTGTCTTTGGAATTTATGGGAATTATTGGAAATTGCAAAAACACACCGGCCATGTGACTGATCTTGTTCTCCCAGGGAAAGGTATATTTGAATCTTTCTTTGCTCAAGATTGAGATATTTGACTGCCAACTCAGATGAAAAGGACTGACACCGAACATATGTTTCCTGCTTCCACACTTCACGCATGCACGATACAGTTTGCAACAATCTGGAAATCATGGAGGCCACCAAGAACAAGCAAAAGCTGAGTGGATTTTGCTGTTTTGTCTTCAAATTTTGTTTGTTTTACCATGTTTTTGATCAACTGAACCTTTTAAGATACTCTGCTATCAAAGTAAACTGAGGTAAAGAGAAGCCAAGTCAATTTTGCAGGTATAATTGATCAGTGTATGGCTCATTCGCTACAATCACTCAAAAGCTTATAAAACTGACTTCCTTTGTACCATTTACCAAGAACAGTATATTTTATGGACTTTCTCCTAAAGGTTTCTGTATTCTTTGCAGTGTAACACAGATTATCATTAAAACATATAATTGCAGCCGTAACAAGAACGTGTACCTTTGCTGATGCAGCAACGTTTATAGATAAAGATTATACAGTTTTATTTGGATATACCTTTAATTTCTTCGGTTCTGCATTGGGATTAAGAGCAATGTGCAGCCTGAGGTGGAGAAAGTTGGCTGCATTTCACTTGAATGATTTGCCCATAGGCAGGGAATTTCATAGCAAATTTTTGGAACATGTCAAATCCCCACCACATGCCCTGATTCCCCCCCTTTTGCTGGCTTTACATTGAAAGGTGCATTAGCTATTAAAAAAGCTTCTCTTCTTTACTTCACTT